CTCTGTTTTTCCTGACATTGTTGATGATATGATTAGAATGAATATTGACCCAAACCCTGATCTCTCAACACACTGGAGTAACTGTCCTGTTAAACTACCTCGTGAGTTGAGAAACCACAGCAGTGTGCTGTATAATGATCAGTTGATAGTCTCTGGAGGTGATGATGGAATTATTTCATCTAACTTGATCAGAGCAGTCCAGCTTGTTCCTCCCTATACTGTGAAGACCTTATCAAGAATGCCAAAACCAAGACAAGGTCACAGCATGAAAATATTTGATGATAAATTGTTGATAGTTGGTGGAAGAACTGGTAATAACAAAGACAACCTAAGCAGTGTTGTGCTGTACGATATAAGAAGAATGAGCTGAAACAGTTGTCACCACTGCCGTATGAAGTGAGTGATATGGCAATTGTGAAATGGGGAGACAACATCGTTGTTATTGGTGGCACTGACAAACATGGCAAGACATTAGATACAGTTATCATTTACAATATCAAGACAGAACAAAGTCACATGCTGCCATCAATGAGATGTAAGAGAAAGGGATGTACTGCAGTTGTTATTGAAAACAACATTGTAGTCCTGGGAGGGTGGGGTGATGGAGGAAAGTTGAAGTCAGTTGAATGTTTCAACTTTGAAAGGTATTTTTGGAAAAAACTTCCAGAAATGTCTGAAGCAAGATGGATTCACAATGCTGTTGTTGTGTGAAAAGTGACGTCGGATCTTGATGAACTCGTTTATGTGAAGTATAGCCATAATCATAATATGAACTATTTAGAGCAGATATTCAAAATATTTAGTTGTAAATATATTATATAATTTTATGCATGTTTTTTGAGAAGGATTGTGGCGAAAGTTCGTAACAAGTGGTTCCTAGATTTCAAAACATTTAGTTTTTAGACAAATTTCATTCCTTGTAGAAGGAAACAAGAATATAAACAATCATTTTTCAAATATTTCATTAACGGTTTAAATCAGGGTTATGATTAACAAAGACATTCGCTTTCCCATATAGCAAGAAAGCGCCACAAATTTGCTTGTAAACCATCGCTATTGACTTGAGACAACAGCAAAATGTTTGTAAATAGATTAATTGTAAAAATTTTTATGTTGTATCCTACTAAGAAAGAATAAATATTAAATGATTTATTGAGGAAATCCCTAAACGGTCCATTGTCAATGTTTTTATTCCTTTTTGCATGGATAAGTTTGGTTATAAAGACACTTTCTTATAAAGTTCTTTCTAAATTCGTACGAAAACACTCGTAGAAATGGCAAAATTATTTTTCATTTGAGTCGAATCGAACCATTTTTACGTGTGAGTATTTGGTTGATGGAAAATCGAGTGAAATTTATATAGTTTTAAGTCCTAACCTTGGGACAGTTTAGAAGAATTTAGGAATTACCAGACTTCCAGGCTTCCTTCAGCAATCAAACATTACGTCATGAGCGATGACGTCAACAGCTCTGGTCACTGAGCTATATACAGTGTACGGAGTGAGCTGACAAGAGCGAATGTGAGTTTATATTATATAAAAGGATTGATCCAATGCAATGCGACAGATAATTATCGTAGTTAACTACAGAATACGGAATTGTGATTGACCAATTGTGATTCAATACCTTTTTATACAACAGACCGAGGAATATCATTTTCATATATTATTTGGCTGAACAATTACAAATCCTGATATTTTGCAACAAAATAGTTGCAAAAATTCATAACGGCGACATTTTTCAGTAGCAGCAAATAAGCTACGACAAACGTCAGTATAAAGACACGTCTTAATACTTAGGAATTAGTCGACTATTAGGACGTTAAAACACTCGTATTAAAAATCCTGGCTAAAAAAACCAGTTGAAACCAGTAATAATATTACCTCGCGACCACCCATTGTGATATTATAAACAAAATATATATCAGTCTGCCTAGCGTTGTGTGAAATATTTTTAAACAAAGGCAGTTTGTATGTTTTAACACATGATTATGTAAAAGATTTGAGACATATTCTGATGCAGACTTTATCAACATCGATTACAATGTACTTCGTCTAAATATTTCATTATTATGATTGATTATTCTTGGTATAAAGTATCGTTTTCTTCGAACTCATTTCCATATAATGAAATAAGAAATTCCTACCAACGTAAACACTAAAACACAACCAATTGCAAATCAGTATTTGAACAAGAGGTGATGACCTTTTGTCACAAGACCTGATAAAAATATCTTTTTCCATACTACAAATTCCTGTCAACAAAAGACGCTTTAAACACTTTATACCGAAGCGATATTTTCCTGCCTTTTCTAAACCGATCAAAAGATTTCAAGCAAATACACAGACTTCTCCAAGAACGAACACTGTATCTATATTCAGTCTATACAGCGAGGTTTATACTACAGAGCGACAAACAACACAGAACTTGCTTTATTATTACGACACAAGAACGACGTGAAATATGGCTTCATATATACAAGGCTACGATGAAGAAAGATTTGTGGACAAAGTGAATCAAAATTTCCTGTGTCAGATTTGTTTCAATGTCTTGAAAGAGCCGGTTATGTGTTCGAGATACCAGCATTCTTTTTGCCGTTGTTGTATTACGAAACATCTGGAAAATTCTCAAACATGTCCAACGTGTGCTGATGAACTGACCGTAGAGACTTTGATCGAAGCACCGCGAATGGTAAAATATTTTTTGAATGAATCAAAAATTCGTTGCGTTTACATCGACAGAGGTTGTCAAGAAGTTGTCGAATTACAGCATCTTGACCACCATGAAGATACATGTGGATATACACCAGCCGTTTGTACAAACCAAGGCTGTGGTTTAATTGTCAACAAGCGTGATCTTATTCACCATGAAAGTGAAGTCTGTGAATTCCGAAAGTTGAAGTGTCACTCGTGCGGAGAAATGACGAAAACTTTGGCAGATGTGGAGGAAAGAATGGCGAATATCGAGAAGAATAATGTAACAATTGAAACTAAAATAACAAATTTAGGGAGAAAAATAGACGAAAATACCGCGGATTTAAAAGCAGATATCGAAGGAAAACTCGAAGCGGGTAACAACGAAGTGAAAGGATTGAAAACAGCTTTGGTCAGAGCTTTTGATGAAATGAAGGACGTTCTTATCACGATGGAGGGCAAGAAAGAAGAAAACACAAGAAAAGTAAGAAATAGACCAAGTGGTGATAAGGAAAATATAATTGTTGCTGGAGGTGTCAGAACTAACTCTGTAGAGATGTTTAACTGGCGTCAAAGAACATGGTCGCCATTACAATCAATGCCAAAGAAACGTTATGGAGCGACTTCATTTATTTATAACAATCATATAACTATAGCTGGGGGTACCTGTGGTTTTTCTGGCATTGTTGATGATATGATTAGAATGAATACTGACTCAAACTCTGATCTCTCAACACACTGGAGTGACTGTCCTGTTAAACTACCTGATAAGTTGAAAAACCACAGCAGTGTGCTGTATAATGATCAGTTGATAGTCTCTGGAGGTGATAATGGAAATGGTTCATCTGACTTGATCAGAGCAGTCCAGCTAGTTCCTCCCTATACTGTGAAGACCTTATCAAGAATGCCAGAACCAAGACAATATCACAGCATGGAAATATTTGATGATAATTTGTTGATAGTTGGTGGAATTTCAACTCGCAATTACGACCTCAGCAGTGTTGTACTGTACGATATAAAGAAGAATGAGCTGAAACAGTTGTCACCACTGCCGTATGAAGTGAGTCGTATGGCAAGTGTGAGATGGGGAGACAACATTGTTGTTATTGGTGGCGTTGACAAACATGGCAAGACATTAGATACAGTTATCATTTACAATGTCAAGACAGAACAAAGTCACGTGCTGCCATCAATGAGATGTAAGAGGAGGGGATGTACTGCAGTTGTTATTGGAAACAACATTGTAGTCCTGGGAGGGTTTCGTGAGGAAGAATACCTGAAGACAGTTGAAGGTTTCAACTTTGAAAGGTATTCTTGGGAAAAACTTCCAGAAATGTCTGAAGCAAGATGGATGTCCACTGCTGTTGTTGTGTGAACTATTTCGTATATAAATATTGAACTCGTTTATGTGAAGTATCGCCATATTCATATAATATGAACTATTTAGAGTAGATATTCACAATATTTAGTTGTAGATATATCATGTAATTTTATGCATGTTTTTCGCAAAGAACTATGGTACAAAACTCGTAACAAGTGGTTCCTAGGTTTCAAAACATTTAGTTTTTAGACAAATTTGATTCCTTGTAGAAGCAAACAAGAATATAAACAATCATTTTTCAAATATTTCAATAACGGTTCAAGTCAGGGTTATGATTAAAGAAAGACATTCGCTTTCTCATATAGCAAGAAAGCGCCACAAATTTACTTGTAAACCATCGCTATTGACTTGAGATAACAGCAAAATGTTTGTAAATAGATTAATGGTAAAAATTTTTTATTGTATCGTACTAAGAAAGAATAAATATTAAATGATTTGTTAAGGAAATTCCTGAACAGAAATTATTCTGATTGGTCGTTCACGCCATTCCAATTTTGAAATACAGAGAACGGTTGCAAACCGGTTCAGAATGAGATTTTCCCAGAGCCTTTGTTTTCTCGCCAGAGGAATCGCGGGCTCGGGGAACGAGGTTCAAGCGAGGTCAAAGCTGTATTACACGCAAGCTCGTTCCCAGGGTCTTCTGTGTTCAAGACGGCGCGGTAACGAGGTTGTGTTTCACGGTGCAATTTTTCTTGCAACTTAATGCAATGCAATCCTACTTTTAAGAGATGTAATTTAGTACAGAGTGTTCAAAATGTAAGTGTAGGAGACGTGCATGGAGTTTAATAAACAGAAAAGTTTGGTAATGGCCAAATTTGGATCTCTCAAAAGTAGAATTGCATTGCAAGTTGCAAGAAAAATAGCACCGTGTAACAGGGCCTTCAGAGAAAGACGTTTTGTAACTCACTTTTCTCAACAATTTCTAGTGAAGATGTTCTTGTTGAACCCACAACAGCAATTTCTCTTGACGATGAAGCAATGTCATCATCGGATGAAGAAGAATTTGCTCCGAATATTACAACCTCTGATATCGAGGCTGTTGAAGATCCACTGACCAAAGTTAAACCAGGATTGCGATCTGATGGAGACACCTTGGTGCCTTTAAAATCCGTTCATATTAGAGCGAAACTTTTGGACCTTTGTGCGAAAGTCGTTGTCATGCAAGTTTATGAGAATTCAAATGACAAACCAATTGAAGCCAAATATGTTTTTCCATTAGATGACATGGCTGCCGGTATTGATTTAAATGTTCTTATATTTTCAAGATTTTTTTATTGAGATCCAGTAAGGATCATCTCTTATTGATCCAGTGTTACTACAGGAGGAAACCTAAACTAAACTAACTTTATTTTTACTGGATATTTCTATCAGTTCTAAACTGTTCTTCCTAGAGGTCCAGTAAGGATCATCTGTTATTGATCCAGTGTTACTACAAGAGGAAACCTAAACTAAACTAACTTTATTTCTACTGGATAGTTCTATCAGTTCTAAACTGTTCTTCCTAGAGGTCCAGTAAGGATCATCTCTTATTGATCCAGTGTTTCTACAGGAGGAAACCTAAACTAAACTAACTTTATTTATACTGGATAGCTCTATCAGTTCTAAACTGTTCTTCCTTGGGGTCCAGTAAGGATCATCTCTTATTGATCCAGTGTTACCACAGGAGGAAACCTAAACTAAACTAACTTTATTTATACTGGATAGTTCTATCAGTTCTAAACTGTTCTTCCTAGAGGTCCAGTAAGGATCATCTCTTATTGATCCAGTGTTACTACAGGAGGAAACCTAAACTAAACTATCTTTCTCTAGTGTGTGGTTTTGAGGCATTTATCAATGGTAAACATATCGTTGGTGAAGTAAAGGAGAAAGAACAAGCCCACAAGGAGTACAAGAAAGCAATAAGCGAGGGGCATGGGGCTTATTTGATGGACGAGGAGACGCCAGTAAGTTCACGTCATCATCTTATTGCTTTAGTAAAAATTAAACACTTTTCTATCCCCGCCAGGTTGAGTCCAGGTACCCTGTAACCTTAGTGATTCAGCAACAAACAGTTTAAGTGAATCATAGTCTCCCGACCAAGCAAGACCTAGTGATTTTGATATCGATTCAGTAGGTTTTCTGACACTTTTAATTTCCCCAATAATCGGTAGATTATCATTGGTTAAGTTTGGTAGTCCGCATGTAGTTTTTTTTTAAAAAATTGGCGAGATATTCTGAAACATCGGTAGATGAGAATATTTTATGTATTTTTGGTCGGTTTTCATCGCAGGATGTGTTTACGGTTAGTGTTGGTAATATCCCTCCCGGAGCGACCGTCTTGATCAAGATAACTTACGTTGCTGAGCTTGCTGTTGAAGATGAAAATATAGTGTTCAGTCTCCCCGGTTCCCTCGCACCATGGTCACGTGATCAGGCGCTGAAAGAAAGCACACAAGTACGATTTTACGTATAGTTTAGTTTTGTATTGCTGTGGTAGAAATGATCGATAGTGAAGCTCATAGTAAAAACAGTTTAGAACTTATAGAGCTATCGAGTGTAAATGAAGTTAGTTTAGTTTAGGTTTCCTCCTGTAGTAACACTAGATGAATAAGAGATGATCCTTACTGGACCTCTAGGAAGAACAGTTTAGAACTGATAGAGCTATCCAGTATAAATAAAGTTAGTTTAGTTTAGGTTTCCTCCTGTAGTAACACTGGATCAATAAGAGATTATCCTTACTGGACCTCTAGGAAGAACAGTTTAAAACTGATAGAGCTATCCAGTATAAATAAAGTTAGTTTAGTTTAGGTTTCCTCCTGTAGTAACACTGGATCAATAAGAGATGATTCTTACTGGACCTCTAGGAAGAACAGTTTAGAACTGATAGAGCTATCCAGTATAAATAAAGTTAGTTTAGTTTATGTTTCCTCTAAATTGACTGTGGTGTTTTCCGTACTATAGAATATTCTTCAGAGTTTTCAAGCTGGTGATGATAATTCTTGTGATCTTTCTGTTCAAATTGCTGTTGAGATGCCGTTCGATATAAGAACACTGGACTGTCCTACACACGCTGTTAGATTAAAGGTTTGTGGCCTACACCCCACCCCTACACCCCCACCTCTACACACCCACCTCTACACACCCATCTCTGTACCCCCACCTATATACATCGCATCTCTACACCCCAACTCTACACCCCCATCTCTGAGCTGCCACCTCTACACCGCATCTCTACACCCCCACCTCTACACCCCCATCTCTGAGCCGCCACCTCTACACCGCATCTCTACACCCCCACCTCCACACCCCGACCTCTATCTACATCCCCATTCTGCACCCCCAACTCTACACCCCCATCTCTGTACCCCCACCTTTACACGCCACCTCTACACCCCCTACCTCATGTACCAACCGCCCGTGCACACACTCAAATGTCTATTGTTTCTTACAGAAAACAGCAACAAAAGCAGTTCTGGAGATGAAGGAAGGCCAAAAACTGGACAATGGATTTCAATTGTTGATCGGTCTCGCGGAAATCCACGTTCCACGAATGTGGGCCGAGAGACATCCCGAAAACGCAGACTCGCAGGTTGAATATCATTTCTGACTTTCTAATAAAGAAAATCTGCATGCTGGTCGTATTCTTTAAGGAAACAAACTTCGAACAATTACCATAATTTAGATGTTCAAATTAAGCGATTCTTGCTTCATTTGTCCAGCACGTTTACGGTGAGAAAACTCTGGAAACAAACTTCGATCGATTACCATAATTTTGATGTTAAAATTAAGCGATTCTTTCTTGCTTCATTTGTCCAGCACTTTTACGGTCAGAAAACTCTGAAAGTTCTAAACTCTACTGTCTGATATCACTAAAGAATTTTGAAGCATTTGTGAGTTTTTTTTCGCGTTCAGCGATAATCGCCTTTTCCACCCAAAAGGTTCCCCTATATGAGGACACGAAAACCGTTTTTGTTTTTTGTGTTCAGCCATTTCGTTTCAGCCATTTTTGTTTTTATCTAGGCTTGTATGTTGTCTTTTTATCCCGAATTCGAGGCAGACCAGATTGAAAATGTTGAATATATCTTCCTATTAGATGTGTCTTGCTCAATGAAGGTAAGAACGATTCATGGCTTTATATCGTTCAGTTTAATGGAAGATTCAAGCTTCAGAGTAAATTTTCTTATTTTTCAAACCTATTTTATCGCGTTTTTATGAATATAGGGAACTTCTATTGACAATGCAAAGAAAATTTTTCTTCTTGCTCTGAACAAACTACCAGCCAACGCTAGATTTAATATCGTTGCTTTTGGAAACCAGTGGTTGGAATTATTTCCGTCAAGTGTTGAGAAGACGGAGAAAAGTTTGAAAGAAGCTGCTGCTTTTGTTAAAGTAGGTGGAAATAGCGTTTTAACAACTTTAGACAAGCATTAGAAAGAGAATAAAATACTAAAGTAGGTCTGGGTGCATTGCAAGCTAATGGGTTAACAAGAGACACTGACAGATAGTTTTGTTAGCTCATTAACTGACAGTACTCTTCCACTGATGATTAAAATCATCTGACATTAGACAGAGTAAAATACTAAAGTAGGTCACATCTGGGTGCATTGCAAGCTAATGGGTTAACAAGAGACATTGACAGATAGTTTTGTTAACTTATTAACTGACAGTACTCTTCCACTGATGAGTAAAATCATCTGACATTAAACAGAGTAAAATACTATCAAGTAACGCGTACTTTAGCTGTCATGGAAACTTCATGTAATCATTATCATTCCTGTTTAGAACCGCACCAGTGATATGGGAGCCACGGATCTCTGGAAGATTCTAAGAGCTTTAAGTCTACTACCGGTGAGATCCAATGTCCACGTGAGGAACGTGTGCATTCTCAGTGATGGGCACGTGACTGAAACCGAGATGGTTTTGAGACTGGCAACCAGTGGCTTCGCTCAGACCAGGATATTCACGTTTGGTGTAGGGTAAGTTACAGTGTTTATGAATGAATATTTTGAAGGCGGCGTAACGCGTATCAAGATGATATAACTTGATGCAAAAGACGCACACAGTGGCGTAACTAGGACGATAATTTGGGGGTGAATATTTATTCATATATTCAGTTCTGCCTTACGGATTACTTTTGTAATTGCAATAGCTTACAATAGAAATCCGTCGGGCAGAACTGAATGTATGACTATTCGACCCCCCCCCCCCCCCCAATTATCGTTCTAATAACGCCCCTGGACGCACATCTCTTTGTTTTGGGCTTTGAAAACTTGTCAATGATCTTAGAACAAGCAGTGAGATATACACCTATATCCAAAAAGCTCACTCACACTCATTGACTGTGACATAAATATTTTGTTAATGCTGGACAATAAGAAAGTTCTTTCTAAATAGGTGGAGGCAGAAGGTAAAACACTGAAAATCAAGCCCCTATTCGACTGAAAATAACGTTATGGAAACGATATGAGAAGTTTAAGATCTTCCACTCAATGAGTTTGAGTGCGAGCGAGCTTTTAGAATACAGGCGTTAGTCTAGCTTTTAGAATACAGGAATTAGTCTAGCCTAATACTATTGTCGATAACAAATCTTTGAAACAGCATTCAAACCAATGGACGATTTGCGCTTTAGACTAATTTTTTATGGAAGTAACTAGAAGAAAATAAATCATCACAGCTAGAAAGATCTTACTTAAATTAGTGCAAATGCAAAGTTTGGCTGCGAAATTTTGTAAAATACGGAAAATATAGCCATGCGAAGTTGGCAAATTTTCGTAAGCATTTTCAGAAAATGTCCTTTTTATCGCCGAGGTAAGAAATTAGTCTAAAGCGCAAGTCGTCCATTCCTGGCCATGTAAACACAGGAACCTCGGCAACGAGTTAGCAGAAACTAGAATTCAATGTCTTTCTATTTCGTAGCTCTTCTGCAAACCGTTATTTCTTGCGGACTTTGGCAAAAGTTGGCGCCGGTGCCTCGGAATACTTTGACGAGAAAGTCAAGTCAAAATGGAAAAGAAAAGTAGAGTCGTTTATCTCGAGGTCGCAACAACCTGTTCTGACGTCAGTATCTGTTGCTTGGCAACAGTTTGATAATGACGCACCAACTCCAATCCAGGCCCCAAGCCAAATATTGTCGCTTTTCAATGGCTCGAGACAAGTGGTGTATGGCTTTGTTCCTTACTGTACCCAGGTAAAGAGATCTGAACTGTTCTTCGTGGAGGTCCAGTAAGGATCATCTCTTACTGATCCAGTGTTAATACAGGAGGAAACCTAAACTAAACTAACTTTATTTATACTGGATAACTCTATCAGTTCTAAATTGTTCTTCCTAGAGGTCCAGAAAGGATCATCTCTTATTGATCAAGTGTTACTACAGGAGGAAACCTAAACTAAACTAACTTTATTTATAGTGGTTAGCTCTATCAGTTCTAAGCTGTTCTTCCTAGAGGTACAGTAAGGATCATCTCTTATTTCTTTTTTCCAGGCGACATTAAAAGCTATGATCAATGGCAAGGAGATTTCAACAATGGTCTCAACGTCAGAACTGAGTATCACCTCTGGTTCAACCTTGCATCAGCTGACAGCCAGAGCACTGATTAATGATTGGGAAGAAGGTTTACTTGCTCCAGACCACCTCCATCACCAGGTCTGTGAAGGCTGAACCACCGCACTTATTGTTTTAGCTGATATTTCAAATATTGTTTGATTGTTAATAACACTAGAGGGTTAAAGGGTCTTAACTTCGAGTGGAATTATACACACTTCAAACTCAAGCCAGGAACAGTTGATGAAAAAATGAGTCAACTATAGGTCCTCCGGCAGGAATCGAACCTACGTTTTTGCGATGCCGGTGCAATGCTCTTGCCATTGAGACCACTACCATTGCATCGTAGGTTCATCTCTGCCGGAGGACCGATAGTTGACCCATTTTCCATCAACTTTTCCTGGCTTGAATTTGAAGTGTGTATAATTCCACTCGAAATTAAGACCCTTTCAACCTCTAGAATTTACCTACATCAAGTGAAGTGGAAAAAATCACAATCTGTTAATAACACTAGCCTTGATTATAACTAAATGCTTATAACACCACGTTTAGGCCCGTTTAGACTTGCAATTTTTGCTGCAATTTTATAAGTGCGATTTTCTGCTTTTGACAGATGGAAACGAGCAAAAGCTTTCAATGTTCTAATGTATAAGTAATAAGTCTCCTAATTTGAACATCCGCAACTTATTCACTCATTCGCATCTATCAAATGGAGAAAATCGCACATCAGGGAAAATCGCAGGTGTAAACAAGGCTTTGCATCGAAATTCACGGAAAATTGTCGTAATTTTTTTTCACGTTTAATTTTGTAATTGTTCTTGAACGACGCTGTAATCTTATTTTCCAGGCGGTCAAGGTATCTCGGAAAGATTATATTATTGAAATAAGCAAGAAATACTCAGTCACGTCAAAGTTCACAAGTTTTGTCGCAATTGAAAAGCGTGAAGAAGGCGAGACCTTTGATTCGACAACTGCGCCGGACATCGACGAAATTCTTGATGGAGAAGATGTGGATATCTTGGGATATATTGGGTTCGAGGAGGACGATGAGGAATCAGAGGGGGATTCAGAGGACTCAGAGGATGAATCAGAGGAGGAATCATTGTCTTCTGGTGATATTGATGAACTTTTGGGTGCAGCTCATGAGGTTTGTTAATAAAGTAACACTGAACTCTACTTAGACTGGAACGATAACTCGGCTGCCATCTTCAAAGCCAAATTGTTAATAATTCCATGTCCTTGGATTAGGGTTAGGATTAAGGATTAAGGATTAAGGCTAACCCTCATCAACCATGAACCTAATCTAAAACATAATCCTAACCTACATTCGTGTATTTCAGTAGAATTTATAGTATATAGCTTAGGATGATTTTCTGTCCCTAAATGTGCTGAAACTCTTAAAAAATATTTTATCTCTTTGCCATATTTCACATGAATAATATTTTTTGCAGCCTGCATATCCTGGTTTGATGGTGCGTAATTTTTCTCCCGAATTTACGGATTTCGATTGTTCGCCTCGATTATATGATTCTTCTGGTAAAGAAAATTTATGACAATCTAAACGTTTCGCACTGGATATTATTTTTTTCCTTGCGGTCCGAATTCATATTTTAGCGTTCCCTGCAATCTAATTGACTACGCGAGCGGTCCGTATGAGGCCGTACGGACCGCGCGAGATTTAAAAGCACATAGCCAACGCTAAAATATGAATTCGGACCGCAAGAAAAAAAAATAAATCTATTATTTACCAGTTTAGTCGGTCTGTATATGGAAATATTTCCCTCGGTCTCAAAAACGTCCCTCGGCCTTCAGCCTCGGGCTGTTTTTGAGACCTTGGGAAATATTTCCCTATACGGACCTCCAATCTGGTAAATAACATATATATTATCATTTTACTCCAGAACTGAACGTATTGTCTATACGCAGTAAATCTAAATTATTAACTTATTTTTCTCTGGCATGAACAGGTGATGAAGAAATTTATGGTTTCGGTGGAGGGTCAAGCGAGCTTTGTTTTGATATGGACGTAGAGAAATGTTCTTTGGAATGTTCTCTGGGTATTCACAACATTCTTCTCCATATTCACTCTTGATTATTGAACTTCTGTCTCCATATTCACTGACTTCTGCCGTCATTAAATTTAGTCCAAAAATAGTCATAAAAGTAGCGTAAAAGTCGACCGATATTCTGTCGACGTTTGTACATTATCTGTATTTCGCAGACTTTCCATAGACTCTCCCAGCTTCAGTGAATGTTTAAATTTCAAGTTTTAAAGGAAAACAATACGAAATCTTTGTAAATTAGCTTGTGGCTTAAGGGTTGTCTTCCACTTTCGTGTTTTTTGTGCGTATGTAAACGCAATTAAAAGTTTAAAATCATTTAAATGATACTTATGAAATCAACTCTTACTAAAATCCACGGTGTCTAGTTTATGAGTATATCTAAATTATTATCTGCTTTCGGTTTATTTATTTGTTATTTTCACTTTGTTATGCACAAGACATGATGCAAGTGAGGCTTGCAATGAAACTGAAAAATTTAACTCTCCATATCCACTCTTGATTCTTGTATTTCTGTCTCCATATTCACTCTTGATTATTGTATTTCCACATCATTTTTCTTTTTAGTGCCACCAAAGGAACGTTCTTTAAGTCCTGGATTTCCAATTATGAACACATTCTCAACAGGTAAGAAGCTTGAAAAGTTTCACTTAAAAACACCCCATTTCCCGTTTGGCTACGCCCCTGGACTTGCGAGAATTTAAATTTCATGCTTTGAAGCAAAACAGTACGAAATCTTTGTAAATTAGCTTGTAGCTTAAGGGCTGTTTTCCACTTTCGTGTTTTTTATACGTACCTAAACGCACGTAAAAGTTTAAAATCATTTAAATGATACTTATGAAATCAACTCTTACCAATTTCCACGGTGTCTAGCTTATGAGTATATCTAAACTATTATCTGCTTTCGGTTTATTTATTTGTTATTTTCACTTCGTTATACACAGGACATGATTTTGAAGATATTTATGATATAGGTGAGGCTTGCAATGAAACTAAAGAATTTCAGTCTCCATATTCACTCTTGATTATTGTATTTCCACATCATTTTTCTTTTTAGTGCCACCAAGGGAAAGTTCTTTAAGTCCTAGATTTCCAATTATAAACACATTCTCAACAGGTAAGAAGCTTGAAAAGTTTCACTTAAGAACACCCCATTTCCCGTTTGGCTACGCCCCTGAACTTGCAAGAATTTAAATTTCATGCTTTGAAGCAAGACAGTACGAAATCTTTGTAAATTAGCTTGTAGGTTAAGGGTTGTTTTCCACTTTCGTGTTTTTTGTGCGTATGTAAACGCAATTAAAAGTTTAAAATCATTTAAATGATACTTATGAAATCAACTCTTACTAAAATCCACGGTGTCTAGCTTATGAGTATATCTAAATTATTATCTGCTTTCGGTTTATTCATTTGTTATTTTCATTTTGTTATGCACAGGACATGATGTTGAAGAACTTGATGATTTGCCTCCAGATCTAGGTGAGGCTTGCAATGAAACTGAAAAATTTAACTCTCCATATTCACTCTTGATTATTGTATTTCTGTCTCCATATCCACTCTTAATTATTGTGTTTCTGTCTCCATATTCACTCTTGATTATTGTATTTCCACATCATTTTTCTTTTTAGTGCCACCAAAGGAACGTTCTTTAAGTCCTGGATTTCCAATTATGAACACATTCTCAACAGGTAAGAAGCTTGAAAAGTTTCACTTAAAAACACCCCATTTCCCGTTTGGCTACGCCCCTGGACTTGCGAGAATTTAAATTTCATGCTTTGAAGCAAAACAGTACGAAATCTTTGTAAATTAGCTTGTAGCTTAAGGGCTGTTTTCCACTTTCGTGTTTTTTATACGTACCTAAACGCACGTAAAAGTTTAAAATCATTTAAATGATACTTATGAAATCAACTCTTACCAATTTCCACGGTGTCTAGCTTATGAGTATATCTAAACTATTATCTGCTTTCGGTTTATTTATTTGTTATTTTCACTTCGTTATACACAGGACATGATTTTGAAGATATTTATGATATAGGTGAGGCTTGCAATGAAACTAAAGAATTTCAGTCTCCATATTCACTCTTGATTATTGTATTTCCACATCATTTTTCTTTTAGTGCCACCAAGGGAAAGTTCTTTAAGTCCTAGATTTCCAATTATAAACACATTCTCAACAGGTAAGAAGCTTGAAAAGTTTCACTTAAGAACACCCCATTTCCCGTTTGGCTACGCCCCTGAACTTGCAAGAATTTAAATTTCATGCTTTGAAGCAAGACAGTACGAAATCTTTGTAAATTAGCTTGTAGGTTAAGGGTTGTTTTCCACTTTCGTGTTTTTTGTGCGTATGTAAACGCAATTAAAAGTTTAAAATCATTTAAATGATACTTATGAAATCAACTCTTACTAAAATCCACGGTGTCTAGCTTATGAGTATATCTAAATTATTATCTGCTTTCGGTTTATTCATTTGTTATTTTCATTTTGTTATGCACAGGACATGATGTTGAAGAACTTGATGATTTGCCTCCAGATCTAGGTGAGGCTTGCAATGAAACTGAAAAATTTAACTCTCCATATCCACTCTTAATTATTGTGTTTCTGTCTCCATATTCACTCTTGATTATTGTATTTCCACATCATTTTTCTTTTTAGGGGCACCAAGCGGACGATCTTTGAGTACTGAATTTCCAGTTATGAACACATTCTCACCAGGTACGAAGCTTGAAAAGTTTCACTTAAACAGAGGCGGAGCAGCCTAAGATTAACAGGGGGCAACCATTAAGTATACTAAGCTCTACATGTTACTAGACGAAAATTACAACAGGGGGGAGAAAGTCCGAACACCCCATTCCCCGTTTGGCTACGCCCCTGGAATTGCAAGAAAATTCTCGGAGACTATCAATAGTGACTCAGGTGATATAGCAGAGTTGCAAAAAAGCAGCGGGTATGCGGGTACCACCCGGAGGAAGGTTTGCTTTGAATGAGGTTTGTGAGGAAGGTTAAAAGTTGAGCACTCTAAATGATCACATGCATGTACTAAAAAAACAAATATTTGTTTATGCTGGTTGCCACTTGACTCACTGACGTAACGTCGTTTTGAGGAAGGTTTTCAAAACTTGAAATCCTACCGGAGGAAGGTTGAACTCTTTTTGCAACTCTGTGATATAGTGATGCATAAGTAAGGTCAGGTGGATTCTCAAAATTCCAAATTGTTCTTCTCAGATTTACATGATGATAATGATGAAAGTAAAGCCGAGGATATGGACTTTGGATTATTCAGTGATGATGGTATGTTAACCATATTATGCAGTTTACCACCGATGTTATTCTGGAACTGTATGGTCTAAATACGATACATGTCAACCATGAACTACTTTTGCTTTGTTATCAAAGAATTTCTTCACCATCTTTCTTTTTACTGGTAGATGATCCACGAGCAAAATTAAGGTCCAAAAAATCTTTGAGACGAGGTGTTCCATCTCGTAGTGCTAAAGAAGAAGGTGTAGCATCGCCACCACGCCCTCCTCCCCCTGTTCCGAGCTCTACGAACGCACAGACATTAGGTAAGAAGCTTGAAAAGTTTGACTTAAACCGGGGGGGTGTTAGCCCTTTCGCGCGAACATATAAAAAGTAAAGGCCGATTTCCACTTACAGCGAAATCGTTCGCCAGCGAAATATTTGCATGTTTTCTTTTGAATTTTAACAGCATAAATAAATTAGTTCGACTTGACTGTTCTCAATTCAAAAGGAAATATGCAAATATTTCGCTAGCGAACGATTTCGCTGTAAGTGGAAATCCGCCTTAAGAAGCGTTTCTACTTTTTCGCGGCGATTTTTTTCGCAAAGCAATCAAATAACCCGATTTCAGATATCGCTTCGCGTCACGCGAATAAATTCGCCTGGTGGAAAACAGGACGTGGAAATCTGGGGCCAGTTGTATCAAGCCCGTTTAGCTTAAACGGCGGATAAGTCAAAATGAAATAACACTCTTACATCTCTCTTGAATGAGTCAACTTGAATATTATGCACTGAATATGTAGTTGTAAACAGTATCTTTGTATTAAGGTTGAAAACATTTAGTTTGCTTGTTGAGTAAAACGATAAACTTGCTTTCTATTTTGAACTTATCCACCGTTTAAGCTAAACGGGCTTGATACAACCGGCCCCAGGACTTGCAAAGAAAGTTCTCGGAAACTATCAATAGTGACTCAGGTGATATAGTGAGGCATAAATAAGGTCAGGTGGATTCTCGAAATTCCAAATTGTTCTTCCCAGATTTACATGATGATGATGATAAAAGTGAAGGCGATGATATGTGCTTTGATGATGGTATGTTTACCATATTATGCGGTTTACCACCGATGTTATTCTGGAACTGTATGATCTAAATACGATACATGTCAACCATGAACTACTTTTGCTTTGTTGTCAAAGAATTTCTACACCATATTTCTTTCTAGTGGTAGATGATCCACAAGCAAAATTAAAACTTGCTTCTCTCCTCGGAAAGATAAAGTCCAAAAAATCTTTGAGACGAGGTGTTCCATCTCGTGGTGCGAAAGAAGAAGGTGTAGCATCGCTCCCACCCCCTGTTCCGAGCTCTAGGATCGCTCCGACATTTGGTAAGAAGCTTGAAAAGTTTGACTTAAACCGGGGGGGGAGGGTGTAGCCCTAAAATATGTGTGAAGGGGCCATCAAATATACCAAGGTCCGGTTGTGCATGTTCGAAACGAGTTTGAGCGGTGGATAAGTCAAAATTAAATAACACTCTTACATCTCTCTTGAATGAGTCAACTTGAATATTATGCACTGAATATGTAGTTGTAAACAGTATCTTTGTATTAAGGTTAAAAACATTTAGTTTGCTTCTTGAATAAAACGATAGAATTGCTTTCTATTTTAAACTTATCCACCGTTTAAGCTAAACGGGCTTGATACAACCGGCCCCTGAAATATTCAGTTTTTAATTTAGAGCATTATTAATACACATCATCGTTTTGTTGTATTTTATAGAAATCGTACCTGATTTGAGACAGACTTTTGGTGGTGGAGAAATATCTCACTCAATAAGAGATGAGGTTCTAATACCGCGTTCGCGAAGTTCTGCCTACGGCAGGTCCTCCTTACCTGGTAAGAATATTGAAATCGCTCGAAAATGACGCTATAGCTAGCGTGCACCGCATGTAGCCTTAAGCCCGCCGCACAAGAGAGCTATCAGCTGAGCTAACGACCTCGCGAGGCAGTTAACTCAGCCTGAAAACTATCCGCACACGATAGAAACTTGCCTCTCGAGGCGAATTCCTCACGAAAAAACTATCCGCACACGAGAGTAACTTGCTGAGCTAACAGCCTCGCGAGGTCTTTACCTCAGCTACCAGCTCTCGTGTGAGGCGCGCTTAACTGAGAAAATAAACAAAATTATTATCGTAATAATCACGATACCCTTTTTAGCATTACCCGACCCATCACACGTGTAAATTTTATATCCATTCCAAGTCATATTAAGACGGGTTTTTACAATCAACTTTCCTGTCTAAGATGAATTTCCCGTGCCTAATATGAATTCTTAGCGCTTTAGTTCTATTTTATCATTGAAATCAACAGATTCTGCTGAACAGAAGAAAGAAGAAGACGTGGTGTCCAAGAACGATACCTTTGGAGGATTTTCGTTTGGTATTGAGCAAGCTCAGACGGCTAAACAAAAACCACAAGAAGAACAAGAAACACCATCCCCGGCTGCTCCACCCTTGCCGCCCAAGTCCGGCATCAGGTCACGGGATCCCCCTCTACCGCCTATGCCAAGCAGTTCCTTTCTGCGATGCTATAGCGCTTCAGAACCAAAAGGTATATACCTCTTCACTTGTTAGAAAAAAATATTATTCGAAACTCATCTACAAATCGATTGAAAAAACTCATCTACTGAAACAATTTTGTAGAAACGAGAAGTGCAGGAGGGGGGGAGGGGGTGTAGAAACGAGAAGTGCAGGAGGGGGGAGGGGGTGTAGAAACGAGAAGTGCAGGAGGGGGGGAGGGGGTGTAGAAACGAGAAGTGCAGGAGGGGGGGAGGGGTGTAGAAACGAGAAGTGCAGGAGGGGGGAGGGGGTGTAGAAACGAGAAGTGCAGGAGGGGGGAGGGGGTGTAGAAACGAGAAGTGCAGGAGGGGGGAGGGGGTGTAGAAACGAGAAGTGCAGGAGGGGGGGATGGGGCGTCCACAAGCGCGAATTGCATCAACAATTTCTACAGCATCTTTTGTTTGCATTTGTAGCATTGGAATCGTTGCATTCTCTCAAGTCGAAGAGAAGTGTCAAGATGGCATCCCCCACCGCTTCACCACTGCGCGTTGAGTCACGGCATTCCCCTCCACCCTCTCCACCCTCTATATATACACCCCTTAGCGCCAGTTCCTCTATTATTCCATGCTATGACGCTTCAGAAGCAAAAGGTATGTACCTCTCCGCTTGTTAGAAAAAAATTCTTTATTGAAACTCATGTACTAATCGTCACAAAGAATATTCTCATTGTTGTGTACGACGAACGATTTTTATTTAAAGAGAAAAACTCTTGTACAAAAATATGAAAACGTAAAATAATGTCAACCTATCCGAAGTTATCTTGCTCGAGTTTCCATGTGCTCCGTCGAGCCCGCTGACCTGTGCCTGCGTTATTGTTAGTCACTGACGTAAACTTCATGTAACAGTCACTCATCAGTATTCTCGAGTTGCTATAATTATAGTACTGTCCAGAACCTTGGTCACACCTCGGTCTGATCGCGGTCGAACCGAGGCCGAGACCGAGGTCGAACCGTGGTGAGATGGACGTTAAACTGCAGCCTAACTCGGTCTGACAGACATTTCTTAGGATGTTTATTGTGTTGTTGTTCTCAGCAGTTCATAGCATTCCGTTCGGAAGCGAACGGCAACCGCGATCGTGTTTTTTCCCTTGCGGTCGTCTGCGGTTTTTATCGGTCGACCGCAACCTAACCGCAACTGGACAGTGCTATGACAGTCGATTAAATGTTGGCCCAAATGATACTAGAGACGGATTATCCGTCTGGACAAATGATCCATCTGACAGATGATTCATTCGTCTGAGTATAAACACACGACAAACTATCTAGACGAACTGTGTAGACGAATTCCTGACGAAAAACTATCCGCACACGAGAGTAACTTGCTGAGCTAACAGCCTCGCGAGGTCTTTACCTCAGCTACCAGCTCTCGTGTGAGGCGCGCTTAACTGAGAAAATAAACAAAATTATTATCGTAATAATCACGATACCCTTTTTAGCATTACCCGACCCATCACACGTGTAAATTTTATATCCATTCCAAGTCATATTAAGACGGGTTTTTACAATCAACTTTCCTGTCTAAGATGAATTTCCCGTGCCTAATATGAATTCTTTAGCGCTTTAGTTTTATTTTATCATTGAAATCAACAGATTCTTCTGAAGAGAAGAAAGAAGAAGATGGGGTGTCCAAGAACGATACCTTTGGAGGATTTTCGTTTGGTATTCAGCAAGTTCAGACAGATAAACAACAGCCACAAGAAGAACAAGAAACACCACCCCTCGCCGCTCCACGCCTGTTCTCCAAGTCACCGTTTAGCATCGCCTACCGTAGACGAAGCTTTGGGATTTTGAAAACAGAAGGTATGTACCTCTCCACTTGATAAAAAAATTCTTATTCGAAATTCGTTTACTAATCGTCACAATGAATGTTCTCTTCGCTGTATACGAGGAACGCTTTTTGGACCAGGAAGTGGTCCCTAACCGCTGCTAATCTTCTGTTGTTGTTGTTGTTGTTAGGGGGCTACGCTCTTTAAAAAAACCCTAAGGCTCTATCATTACTTGTTTGATCGGAATGAAACTTGGCACAATTATTCTATAAGCAATATTCCGCATCGATTGACGGAGTTCGAATTTTTACTTTTGACCTTTGGAGCAAGTTACAAGCAATTCGTGCCTATATGTGCAGCAAATAATGTATACATATCATTAATATTCAGCCTATATATAAGTAAACGCAAACGATTAGAAATACATTGTCCTCTCCATTGTTGTAAATACAATGCAGTTCAGAAATTAAACTCGGTTACGCAGTTCCTGGTCCACTATAGTACGATCGTACTTGTTATTTCTAGAGAAAAACTCTTGCTCATTACAACGTTCGATCCTCTGAGCCAGGTCGTTCAAAACCCGGCTTGGCCAACCCTAACGGGGTTAAAGCAAATCTTTGCACTAAATTTTTTTATTGCCTGTTTACAAAGTTGAATATCTTTATTACAAATATTTTCTGGACCGAAAGAAGTCTTATTTTGTAAAGTGTTGAAACGAACAGTGGTTCAAAAGCACATAAACTAAAACAACCCCAACAACAAGAAACCGCAGATAATGACAGATCTTTCGAGAAACACACGACCGCCCTTTCCGATGTTTTTCTAAACTTTTAAGAGACTTGAATAGTTTTCACGGCCGGGCCAGCCTGGCTCCAATATAAACAGCTCCTAACAATGGTAGCCTTTTGTCCCAAATGTCTAAATATGAATTCAGGTGAAAAATCTGTTCCTATATTATACATCGTATCAATTTAATGTATACAAGTTGTTGGGTCTGATGTTAGAGTGATATTCTCAAAGTAGCCTATTCTGCTTCTTAATGTAGCGTCGATGTTCATGGAAAGACGTGCATGGAAATCTGAAATATGCAGTTATGAATTTAGGGCATTCAATGCACATCATCGTTTTGTCATATTTTATAGAAATGGAATCTGATTCCAGGCGTGGTTTTGATGGAGAAGCAAAACCTCACTTAATACGAGATGAGGTTCCAAAGAATCTACGAAGACCTAGCTACTTCAAGCCTTCCTTACCTGGTAAGAATACTGAAAACCGCTTTGGCGATGTAGGCTCACTGGGTAAATACTGTTAAAAAAACGCTCGAAAATGACGCTCGCATGCACCACATAGCCTTAAGCAAGCCGCACAAGAGAGCTATCAGCTGAGCTAACGACCTCGCGAGGCAGTTAACTCAGCGGCCTGAAAACTATCCGCACACGATAGAAACTTGCCTCTCGAGGCGAATTCCTCACGAAAAACTATCCGCACACGAGAGTAACTTGCTGAGCTAACAGCCTCGCGAGGTCTTTACCTCAGCTACCAGCTCTCGTGTGAGGCGCGCTTTAGTTCTATTTTATCATTGAAATCAACAGATTTTCCTGAACGGAGGAAAAGAGAAGATGAGGTTTCGGAGAACGTTGTAGCGTTGTCTCTTGGTAGTCAGCAAGTTCAGACGGATAAACAACAAACACAAGAAGAACAAGAAACGCCACCCCCCGCCGCTCCACCCTTGCTCCGCAGATCCATCAGGTCACGGAATCCCCCTCCACCGCCTGTGGCAAGCAGTTCCTTTACGCGATGCTATAGCGCTTCAGAACCAAAAGGTATATACCTCTCCACTTGTTAGAAAAAATATTATTCGAAACTCATGTACTAATCGTCACAATGAATATTCTCATTGTTGTGTACGAAGAACTCTTTTTATTTCTAGAGAAAAACTCTTGTACAAAAATATGAACACAAAAAATTATTTGACAACTGATCCGAAGTTATCTCGCTCGAGTTTCCATCTGCTCCGTCGAGCCCGCTGACCTGTGCCTGCGTTATTGTTAGTCACTTATGTAAACTTCATGTAACAGTCACTCATCAGTATTCTCAAGTTGCTATAATTATAGTACTGTCCAGAACCTTGGTGAAACCTCGGTCTGATCGCAGTTGAACCGAGGTCGAACCGCGGTGAGACGGACGTTAAACCTCAGCCTAACTCGGTCTGACAGACATTTCTTAGGATTTGATGTTATTGTGTTGTTGTTCTCAGCAGTCCATAGCATTCCGTTCAGAAGCGAATGGCAACCGCGGTCGTATTTTTTCCCTATCGGTGGACCGCAACCGAACCGCAACTTGACAGTGCTATAACAGTCGATTAAATGTTGGCCCAAATGATACTAAAGACGGATTATCCGTCTGGACAAATGATCCATCTGACAGATCTTTCGTCTGAGTAAAAACACACGACGAACTATGTAGACGAACTATGTAGACGAATTCCTGACGAAAAACTATCCGCACACGAGAGTAACTTGCTGAGCTAACAGCCTCGCGAGGTCTTTACCTCAGCTAGCAGCTCTCGTGTGAGGCGCGCTTAACTGAGAAAATAAACAAAATTATTATCGTAATAATCACGATACTCTTTTTAGCATTACCCGACCCATCACACGTGTAAATCTTATATCCATTCCAAGTCATATTAAGACGCGTTTTTACAATCAACTTTCCTGTCTAAGATGAATTTCCCGTGCCTAATATGAATTCTTTAGCGCTTTAGTTCTATTTTATCATTGAAATCAACAGACTCTCCTGAACAGAAGAAAAAAGAAGATGAGGTCTCGGTGAAGGATACCTTTGGAGGATTTTCGTTTGGTATTCAGCAAGTTCAGACGCATAGACAGCAACCACAAAAAGAACAAGAAATGCCTGCCGGGGCCGCTCCACCCTTGCTCTCCAAGTCACCGTTTAGCGTCAGCTCCCCTAGGCAAAGCCTCGGGGCTGTTAAAACAAAAGGTATATACTTCTCCGCTTGTTAAAAGAAATTCTTATTCGAAACTCATCTACTAATCGTCTCAATGACTGTTCTCTTCGCTGTATACGAAGAACGCTTTTTATTTCCAGAGAAAAACTCTTGAAACTTGCCTCTCGAGGCGAATTCCGCACGGAAACTATCCGCACACGAGAGTAAGGGGCTGTTTTCATGAGCCCGGTTACCCGAGTTCGACGAAGCATGAGATGATTTTGAGGTATTGAAATGAGCAGATAACATGATCCTGGCAGTCGTATAATCACCACAACAATTGCATGTGCTTGTTTCGTGTCATAAAGACTTGTTACAATATATCAAAGTCCTCTCACGCTGCCTTGAATCTCGGGTAACCGGGCTCATGTAAACAGCCTCTAACTTGTTGAGCAAATTACCAGCCTTGCGAGGTCTTTACCTCAGCTACCAGCTCTCGTGTGAGGCGCGCTTTAGTTCTATTTTATCATTGAAATCAGCAGATTCTCCTAAACGGAGGAAAAAAGAAGATGGGGTTTCGGAGAACGTTGTAGCGTTGTCTCTTAGCAGTCAGCAAGTTCAGACGGATAAAGAACAACCACAAGAAGAACAAGAAACGCCATCCCCCGCCGCTCCACCCTTGCTCCCCAGATCCATCGAGTCACGGGAACCCTCTCCACCGCCTATGGCAAGGGGTTCCTTTAGGCGATGCTATAGCGCTTCAAAACCAAAAGGTATAATATACCTCTTCACTTGTTAGAAAAAAATATTATTCGAAACTCATCTACTAATCGTCACAATGAATGTTCTCATTGGTGTGTTCGATGAACAATTTTTATTTATACAGAAAAACTTTTGTACAAAAATATGAACAGAAAAAATAATGTCAACTGATCGAAAGTTATCTTGCTCGAGTTTCTCTGTTCTCTGTCGTGCCCGCTAACCTATGCCTGCGTTATTTAGCGCCAGTCACTCATGTAGACTTCATGTAACAGTCACCCATCAGTATTCTCAAGTTGCTATAATTACAGTACTGTCCAGAAATAAATGAAATAATCTTACAAAAACTGCGGTTAACCTTGGTCAAACCTTTCTATATCGCTCGTATTTGGTGATTGCAAAACACAAAACGACAAGAGTTATTTCAAAATATAATGCGGCTATCAACAATGTTATAAGTGTCAACACCATTATAACTGAGATGAATACAAAAGTAGCTTCGATTCAAGTGTCATTTTCTTCTCGGCGTATCCCGAGAAATCTTTTCATTTTAATGTTGTTTTTAGATGAAATAGTAAACATTCTTTTTAGATGTTTTTGAGGTTTGCAAAACGTTCTCAATTTTAAAAGAAATTAAACAAATATTATACGTGGCATAGAAAATATCCTCTTTATTAAATCTGTCAACATTGTAATGCCATTTTATCAAATTGCTACAACGTTGAGCCGATTAAAAGTTCGTTTCCCAACCTGTTTTTACAATTCTGCGAAACCCCGAAATTATTCGAAACTGCTCTGACCCTGGGTTAAAGCAAATCTTTACATTAAATTTTTATTGGTCGTTTACAAAGTTGAATATCTTTTTTTTAAAAATATTTTTTTGACCGATAGAAGTCATATTTTGTAAAGGTTTTGAAGCGAACAGCGGCTCAGAAGCACATCAACACTGGATTATAAAACACTGGATTAACATTTTAACCCATGGTTAGCGCCCACCTAGCTTTGAACAACTGCCCCTGATGTAAAAATTGCCCAAAAGTAAACTATTTAGAAGGCTAGCGTTTAACTTCTGTTCTTGTTTAGCAAAATATAAGTTGAAATGATTATTACTTTTGCAAATAGAGAAGGAGAGATTACGCAAAAGAGCAGGGAGGATCACACATTCGATCAACATTCCAGAAATGCTGTCGGCACGAAAAAATATGAAACCACCAGTCCTAGTATTTCTGCTACAAGATGAGGTAATATATGACTAAACTGTTCTTCCTAGAGGTCCAGTAAGGATCATCTCTTATTGATCCAGTGTTACTACAGGAGGAAACCTAAACTAAACTAACTCTAGACTGATATATATACATACTGGATGTATACTTACATCTTTCCGGAACTTCTCCTAGAATGGTTCTTGGAATTTAACAGATTCTCGTCTAGATAATTACCTTCCGGTAAATGCTTCGGAAATTGAGAAAATGTTGGTTGATTGTGGTTCGAAATCGCTTGGTAAGTTTGCTAATAAGTAAAGTGCATATCTTCGCCTTGATCCAACCCAAATAATCCTTCTGTTTGCAAGTTCTGGATCGCTAGCTAAAAGCCGAGAACCAGCCCAATCTCGTGAATTTTTTTAGCTATTCAAATGTTTACGATGCCCAAAACATCATCTTTTTCTGGATAATAAAAACCAATTAATTCCTCTTCCCTTTAAGACATTTTAAACTTTCTAAACCATTCTCCCAAACAGAGTTTTTGAAGAAAATCACTCAAAACTCTAAATTTCATTTTTTTCCCGCCAAAACTTAGCGGTCAATATCGGGGGTTACCGACCGCTAAAGAACCAATTAAAATGCTCCATTTTCATTAAAATCCATTAAAAGCTTTGTATTTTATTGTCTGAAAAGGTGTTCGAACGTTCAAAACCCTTTGCAAAATGGTAGCGACCCTTTTGGTTTTGGCATATTTACGTCAAAAGAAATGCTTTGCTTTTCAAATTCAACTTATCCCGCCGTTCAAAACGCCGGAGTGCCCCGTGGGGTCTGATACCGAGTTGCACGCGAAGGTTGCCAAGGCGATGACGTGGCTAAAGACCGCTGACCGCTCGGTACCGTGCCTGTGCACCCGACTACAGTTGGGCAACAATTGGGAAGAGGTGATTCCAAGGCTTTTGACTACATTTGACCGATTTGAACGTGAAACTAAGGTATAAGGTCTTAGGAAAGAATAAATGCGTGTTGTGGACGTTTAGAACGAAACGAAAATCTGGATAAAAGTGACCTGCGAGTTTTAGTATAAGTTTGTTCGTATAATTTAGTTAGGTTTTGTGTTCTTTTCGACTTTAAAAGTCGACTTAATGCAATATGCAGTGGCGTAGGAAGGGGGGGGGGCACTGGGGGCACGTGCCCCCCCAAGATTTTTCAAGGGACCAAAAGTGCCCTTTTTTCAAAAAAATGCCTTTTTGAGAAGCGAAAATAAACTAAAAAGTATCTACTATATCCCAAAAATCCTTAAATTAAGAGGGGTTTGTGGCCATTTCAGAGGCCTATATCTCAAAATTTTCTCGGGGGAGCATGCCCCCGGACCCCCCTAGCAGTACAAAGCCCAAGAAATACGAATCAAACCGTCCCTGTATATCTTTATTAACCATTTTAACCGCCATTTTTATTAACCAAAAGTGCCCCTAGAAGCTGGTGCCCCCCCAACCTCTGGATGCTTCCTACGCCCTTGGCAATATGAGTTACTTAAGTGAAACTTTTAGTGAGTTTAGTGGCCAGTCTTACGTATAGAAGCAGTAAAGATAACATTTACAAGAATAGTTTTCTATGTAATCTTTTGAAATACTTCTGACGTATATTATGTTTATAATCGACTTAAAATGGAATAGTTTTGTATAACTTAATTCAAATGTCAGCTTTTTACACCTTCAGTGAAGAGAACTTTGATATTTGTTTATGAATCAATCTTAAAGCAATAAAGTATATTATGTGGACTGTTCTCGCCTTTGGACCGCGCGCTGTATTTTGAAAACCGGTTGAGAACATTCATAGAAACAAACAAATGAATTTTCACGTTTCCAAGTCCTCAAGCGAAACGAAGTTTCAAAAACTAAAACTGGAAATTAGCCGCAATTCTTAATACTTAGACTTCAAACTTGATGAGAAAAAAAAGATTTATAAAGACTCAACAAAATATTTCTTTCACAAAAGATTTGAAGCTTGCACACGGCAAAAACGAATCGTCTGAATTAATAACCTTGTGTATACTTTAAGCCTCAAAATGGCCATTTCACAGCTGTCAGATGTGTATGATGAGCTGTCAAAAGATTGCAGAATGTTTATTCAGAAAAAAATTCAACTTTTTAAAATTATTCAATAGTTTTCTCTTTGATAGCGATACAGAAATGCACAATTGTGAACCAGCGATTGGATTTCCGAGTTTAGACTTCATAAATACCAATTTCTGCGGTGTTTTGCTTCATATATTTAACGAAATAAAATCAATTACATGAAATAATTTGTGCTCTATTTCACCACATTACGACACCTGCTTATTTTGAAAGATTTATAAATAGACGTAGAAATATTTCATCTTTAGACAGGAGACATCGTTTGTGCATTGAATTTGACGTAATGTGGCACCACTAAATATTTACTATAATCACAAATGTTGATGAAATATGAAATATTTCATGGCAGGCTATTTGAAAATCTTAAAAAAGTTTATTAAATGTAGCATCTATATATATATATATATATCATATCTTTCAGTTAGACAGTCGTCATTGTAATCTCATGCTATTCAAAATATTTCCTTCAGAAAATAACGAGTTTTTACCACTGTATGCAAAAACGTAAACAGGAAATTTTCCCGCGTCTTCAAAACAAGAAAGTTATTCAAATATACGTCAGTTTCTTTCTTCTCAATGTCATGTCGAATAATCTGGAAAAAACCAGAATACGCTAAAACTTATAGGAATGTGCTACATTTGCGCATTTTCAGACTCTATAACTTCCTTGCTCGAAATATTTTTTTTAAATTGTTATCAAGATGTCGGTGGTGATGAAGGTTGCCATTTTGACCTTCGGTGTCTGCTATTATTTGTGGTTTTACCGTTTTTCGAGTGGCGAAATAGGATCTACGGAAAATTCATCTCTTTCTGAGATACGTTGGCCAATATTTGACACGAATGCGAAGATGGGACGAAGTACATATATCGTACCGTGGAAACCTCCGTGTTTTACCTGTTGGGACGCAGGAATCACTTTGTCCTTGAATCAGACAGTCGAAGAATAACCCAAATGACTGACTCAGGAAGAAAACTTGCGTTGCTGTTCTAACGCACTGTTCAGTGAAGAGCAATTGAAATAACAACTACCAGAAATGGAAAGTCGTTTATTATAAAGAGATCTATAAATCACTTTCTCTGATATGATTATAAGGACTGTTATCAGTATATATACTGATAACTTATATATTGTGCGGTTTTAAAAAATCGTTGCGTATATTTTGATATTTAAATGAGGTATATACTCATCATAACTTCTGCACAGGTCGTCGAAAATAAGAAAACTAAGTGTCTGGTATATTCGAGACCTTCACTATTTTATTGTCTGTGGAAAAACCACGAGAATTTAACGAACGTCAAACAACTTATCAATCAACTTGCTTGCGTTACCATAATGATTGTTGTCATCTTGATCTATTTATATATCATAGTTTCGTTCAGGATTTTTGTATGTAGCTAATGTGTTCATAGCCTCCCACTGTCACTTATGATTTCAAAAAACATTTCTTTACAACGTGAGATCTCCATTCTGAATTAGTTGATGTCATTTGTAGTCCTGTATAACTTGTACACGTTATGCTCTATTTGACTTGAACTCCGTTCTTGCAATGACTTTTTTGTATCTTCATGCATTGTTAGATCCCAATTGTAATCGTCGTTGTTTTTTTATGAATCTCCTGTCTTGACTTCTCATAGTCTTCAGTATATGTCGCTACGAAATTCTTGCAACCTCCGGTATACTTTCGATTTTTCGAGAACGTATTTGTGACGGGGTCATAGTCAATCGGGAATTCATCACAAGTTGAAGAAGCCTCCATTTCGCGATGTTTTTCTGTCTCAGTGTCGTCGATAAGTTGCAAGTCTTCTGCTGATACAATTGTTGTCTGAAGAATTGATAGTAAAATTAGTAATTTCAAGCAAAGTTCACGTCTAGACACAGCCATGTTTTGATGCGCGTTCAACTTTAAGAAATGCTTATGGTATATTCTCGAATATACGTCGATCTTATCAGCTCTGCGTCACGGGGCCTTGAAAGAAGCTCTTAGTCATATATTTGCATGTAATTTAATATGTATACCCTATAGCGATCTATTTAGCAGCAATCAGTACTTTGTCTCATCGTGACCGTGCATATCTTAAGCCGCAATATCACAGCTGGTTTTTTTGTCGGTATTATCAGCTATACACAGCAATTTTAATAATGAAGATTGCAATCGACAGTTTCCGCATACAATGCTAGCGCTAAAAGAATAATTGAAATACCAATTTCTTATGTTTAAATTGTATTTAACACTTCGGCAAGCTCTTGAGAATGTAGCTATATACCAGCCTACCAATATAATATTTATTTCCACAAGATTTTATCAGTGTTAAAACATTAAAAACTATAACTTTTTTTCGTCATTTTATGTCCATATGTCTGCATGTGACAACCTGTAGTTTTATTGAAGTATCTGTGTAGTGTTATAAAAAGAATATGTAATATAAAAATTAATCTCCACGTTAAAACTATAGGTTGAAACTAGAAATCCATAAATAAAAGCGTATAGGTTTAAAATCGTCCGATTAATATAATGTTGTTAATAATCGCCTTATGACATCGAACCTGACCATATTTTGATCATATTTTCAGCTTTGAATATATTTAGTGCATGGGTGTTGTTATATTAACCCCCTATTGGCTATTGTGTTGCATTTTCAATCGCAGGTATGTTTTTGTTTTGTGGGTTTTTTCTGTCGGTTTTTGGGGAATATGTAATCACCTACTTTCTTAGGTAATTTTGTATAATGGATCAACTAACATGAAATATGATCATATTTCTTTTATAGTCTATACCTTAAAGAAATGTTAAATATAGTTGTTTTCCTAAGTGCTATGCGGCAAATATTTTGAAATTAAATTCGCGATTGCAAAACGTTTATCAACAAAGCGCGAAACAATATTCTTTATCAATGTTATAAATCATTGGAGCATTCTCTACTAATGGAAACACAGCATGTGAAATGATCAACTGTTAGATTAGCAACATATATCATTACGAATTGATAAGTACGAATTCACAGTGTTTGTAAAATGTGAAGAGATCGTTTCAATTTATCGACATCATGTATGTTTTCGGATTATTATATATATTTTACATATATCTTTCGAATAACATGTAGTTTGCAAAAATGATTTGGCATTTCCTTTTCGGCTAGAGTGCCAACCTTAACATGCATATTTTGCATTCTTAGACATATAATAGAACAGCGGAAACCAGTATTCGCATTTAGATATACATCAGAAGTTCGGCAGGTAGGCTGTGCGACAACAGCGAACACTAAAGTTGAACTTCAACACCGATTCCTAGGCATAGCTGGCCTTGTTTACAAAATGTACGTGTTAAAGTACGCATTAATTGCGATATTCACTGTCTGCTGTCATGGTGAAACTCAACCTGCTGAAATGAACACGGAATCAAAACAGATTATTGAAATATCCAACGGTCCTATTAAGGTAAAATTCACTGAAGGTGATCTGACAGTGGAGCGATCCCATCAGAAGACTTCTTCGAAGAATTTTGGAGTAACATTGAACGGCAGTGTTGTTGGATTAAAATATTCAAGTCATAAACAGGAATTTCGCTCAGAGACGGTTAAATATAAAGGTGGCAGTTTTGAAATGAGTTCAGATAAAGCGTGCATCGATAACGATAAATGCCTTGATTACTTTTTCAATACACTTAACAATGTGGTTGCAAATGGTGTTGCTTATAAAAAGCACGCATTAATTGGAGGAAAATAATGTACTGTACATCTTTATCAGAGGCTATGTACCCGATCAATATGACTGACCATTTTTACCTTGATGTCGGACTGAAAGCCTTGATTTTCAGTACTGTTTTGTATTATCTTTGTATGAATTGTATCTCATATATAACTGACGTGACTATTAACTACATAACTCATAAGTTTTTTGCTTTTTGCTAATTAATCAGGACAAGATTTTTTATTGCAAGCATATGTGAGCTATTTTCAGTGTGCAAATTACGTCATTATTTACACATTGTGAATTATATAAGATAGAAATA